CGCGGATGTCTGGGGGACAGTGATTTGCCTACATGTTATGGTTGCTGGTGTACCATAAATGATAAATTATGAACAGTTTACTTTGTGCCTTAAACTCGTTGCCCATAGGAAGACGTTACTTGGATATAACCTAACAGAATATCATCAGAACGGCTCCAAATGACACAAAACTCATATGGGTGAGTAGAACATGATGTAATAAGCTAAAATCAAGGGCCCAGTGTAAAACAAAACAACAACAAAAAAACGGCGTTCCCCTTTAAGGTAATGTTGGGTGTCAGTTTTCAGTCATTTGTTGTTTTTTTCACCTAGCCCTAAAGTTTCCTTTCTGTCTCATTTGATCAGAGCATCTACTTTACTTTAGAAACAGTCTATTGGCTGACTATGTTATACTGTAGGGGACTCCCAATGCTTGAACAACACATAGACTATAGATTACAATGTGTTACATTGATCCATTGGGGTTTACAAGACTATTACATCAGATTTAAATATTTTGCTATAGATCAATAAAGAGATTTTAGATTGTTTGATATTTAGATCAAAGCACAGGAATTTAAAAAGGAAATTTAAGCACAGGCAATAATCTTTATGTTTTTATATTAATGTAGTTTTGGCCTCTTTTCTATTTCTCCACCAAATATGTATGAAGTGTCTATTTTAAGAATGGGGGCCCTTAGATCCTTTAGCAGATCCTGTTTACCTTAACTTTAACTTTACCTGGACCTTCGTTTGTCTTTCTCTCAACAATAGTGTCTTCTCTCTACTCGTCAATGAAGAACAGCTTGATATCAGCTGTTTGCCCACATCTGAGCTCATCAAAAAAGCTCAGGTGTCATGAATGTTTAAAAAAAAAACGTAAAATAAATGGAGTCAGTCTGGCTATAATTTTTGTTCAGTATTTTGTTCCTAATTTCTCAAGTTTAAATGTGATTACAGGGGAGTTACTAAGAGCAGCTGCGGGTTCATAAAGGGAGATTGATAGTATGATTTTATTTTCTTTTATTGATTGCTTTCTAGCTTCGGGGTAACATATTTATGTCATATCATATTCATTTTTTATTCGAATTGGAAAGAATAACATGTCAAATATGCTGGTGAAGATTCTCAGTCATAGTAATTCCAAAATAGTTTAAAAAAAACAATCCACTGGACTTTGTTTCCATTTTGAAATGAAAAAGCTTCCTTGATGGGAAATGAAACATCTTCAAACTTGCAAACAAAGTGCAGTGGATTTTTATTTATTTTTTTAAGAATTAAATGCTTAAGTTTTAACAATTAAACAGAATATTTTTTATTTAGAAATTAGTTATTGGGCAGGCATCAATACTTTTGACTGAGAGGGATACTCATGGTAAGACAAAATGCCCAAAGGGATAAACAAGTCAAAAAAGGTTGGGAAACATTTCTCTACTTGCAAACAATATATTTTGGTCTGTTGCATTAAACTATAGTACAATGCATTGAAATTTTGGATTTTAAGTTGTCAAAAAAGTAAATATGCTTAAGACATTTGAAAAACTTATATTGAAATATGTAACTTTGTGTGTTTGTCTCCAACATTTTTGTTTTCCTTTAGCACAGAGTCTGCAGTAGATCTGCGGTAAAGGTGTTACAGTTGTTTGATATCTAAAATACCACATTTGTCAAAACTTGGTGCCTCCCTGGAGTCTGATCCGTGTGAGTAAATGTTAAAATGTCACAGGTGGTGAAACATTCCTCCCAGGAGGTCGTATACTGCTGACCGTTGCTGCTTTTTATATCTCAGGTTGTGCACCAGCTGTCAACAGCTTCGTGGTCTCATTAAAAACACATCAGCTGTATTGCTCTGGGCTCGCTGGCAGAACCGGCTCCAGCTGCTGATTAACATCAGATTGAACAGAGCTGTGGAGCTCAGTGTTGAGCCAGGAAAAACAGGAACTAATGGTCTAACACACACGTACATTATGATGTATAGTAGCCCTGTCAGTGTTGTGAGAAGGCTGAGACATGTACATTTCCTCAAGTGTTGGAATCAGTCAGGATTTTTGCTCTAACAGTAGAGGGTCATTCTTCCTTTAACAGCTTGCTGCTTCTCCTCTGATTCTGCATTAAAACAGAGCTAGCTAACTTCTGATGTAAGATCTAATCTAGAGAGTTGAATGTCTTCTTGTCTTTACTTGTAACTCTGACTTCTCCATCTGCTTGTCAAAAGGGGTTTACTATCAGTTTCTAAAACACATGCTGAGTTGAGTGGCTGCGTCCTCTGAAGGCCAGATTTGTCGGCCAATTACTTCATACTGTAGAGTACCACCGAGGCCTGTTCGGATTGGGAGTCTCCTTGTTATGCGGCCGACGAATGCAGTCTTCTTTTTGCTTGTTTTGAAGGACAGGTCCAATGTATCCTACGTAGCCTTGTGTAAGGGAAAAGGCATTGAAAAGGGTTGAATATTGGAAGTGCAGAATATTATAAGTCTGTGAATATTTCCATTTCAAATGAATGAGAATTGTTGTTTTAAATGGTTAGTTGGTCTGATATTTAGGGGGTAATGTTTGGTTTAGTGAAAGGTCTTATCTGTCTGCATTGCTTTTGGCTGGCATTTAAGCACGGATTCCGATATCTCTGCAGTGTGGGGACTATAAATCTGATATCCATGACGACGGTACTGCTGCTGAAGCTCCTCAAAAATTTAATTAGCCCCTAGAACAGTAGTCGAAGTTAGGTATCCCTTTTTTGCCTGCTTTGTGCGTCAACTTCACAGTTGCTAGGCGACAGAGCGTACACTGAGTGGTGAAAGCCGGAGAAGGCTGGACCTGTTTGAATCCACAGCAAAAACTCCTCCTGCCTCCTTATCCTGAAAGACCTCCAAGGAAGCAGTCCAGGTAGTACGGATCCTTGGAGGATACAGCCTCTGAAATCATACACACCGATAGAGGGAGACTAGCTCATTTTCCAGAAGAGCAGTGTTACCAGTTGCTTTTAGGGGGGGCTAAACCTGAAAGTCAATGTGCTAATGCCTCTAGTGGCTAAAAGTTATGCGGCGCTGTTTCAAAGAAACAGCAAAATTAACCATTTTTATTTAAACTAAAACAGGGACACAATGGAAAATCTTGGACATGGTGGTACATATGCAAGACAGCAAATGGTAGTAGGTCACCTCCAAGACTCGTGAAGGTCCTGCTGATCTAAGGCAATGAACAACTAGTGTCCCAGCTGGCTTGAGAGAAATAAAGGCACTCAGATCCATCAACCCTCCAAAGAAAACCTTAAAAGTCTCTCAAGGTAAATTGTGTGTGTTTTCACGTTGTTTATCTTATGTACCTGCATTGCAATCTAAATAATAAATAAATATTTATACTAATTGAACTTTATTGATTTGACATCAATAGGCAGTGGGCTGCCATTGTGCTGTGCCCGGGGAGCAGTGTGGTGTTAAGGTTCTTGCTCAGGAACACAGAGTAGTACTTGCAACCTTCTCAGAGCACCAGTGCACTGCTGTAACCCACTGGACCAACACTCCCCTGACACAATCTAACAATTTACAAAATTGAAACTCTAAGAAGTTTTACTAGATCTGTGTCTTATGCAGAGAGAGAGAACTTTGGTAGAGAAGAATGCCGGAAAGAAGGGGCTGGTGTTATGCTGAGAAGCGCATGCCTGCAGAGCCCAGGGTCCCCTGTAGCTGGGTATAAGTCCTGTTAATTAGACATGCGCTTCTCAGCATAACACCTGTTTGCCTTTCTGTAAGAGTAAGAGTGAAAACTGCCTCTTTGTCTAATTAAATGAATTTACCTGGGAGAACAATTTTATTTATTTACTTAAAGGGGAACACCGTTTTTTTTTTTTTTTTTACATTGGGCTCTTGATTTTACGTTATTACATCATGTTCTACTCACCCATATGAGTTTTGTGTCATTTGGAGCTGTTCTGAAGATATTCTGTTAGGTTATAGCCAAGTAACGTCTTCCTATAGGCAAACGACTTGAAGGCGCAAACTAAACTGTAAATTTATTCTTTATGGTACGCCAGCATTCATAACATGTAGCCGAATCACTGTCCCCCAGACATCCACGGTTATATTTTTTATATTTATATGTTTTAAAAACAAAGTGGAGTGTGTATGACGTCATCTGTGCGCCGCCGGCTACCGTTCATTCATCCGTCCGCTGAACTGCTGCTAGTTTTCCTCACATGCCTGGAAGATGTCTAGTGCTACTACCACAGATGATCTTGCTTTCCAAATGGAATTGAACGATTCAGATTAGCTAGCTGAATGAATAAAAGGGGTAGAGCGTAGCCGCCTGTGGCCCAGGCTGCCTGTCACAACTCCAGTCCAGCGCGCGGATGAGGTCATACACATAACGCTTTGTTTTCAAGGATTAGACTTGGGGTTTTCGTTGAAACGCGACCAGGAAGAGGCTCGACACTCATTCATCTTTAAGTAGGACATATTCGCCGTTTTACTGACAGGCTGTTAGTTTACACATTCCCACCAGCTTTCTGTCACGCTTCCTACGTCACAGTCAGTTGGTCAGAGCGTTGGCAAATAGGCACAGACATGGTTTGAAAAACAACGGTTGTTCTCATCAACAATCTTCCGCCTCTTCTTAGTCTGGTTTATCAGGCTAAATAAAGTAGTACAACTGCAAAAATAAAGTCATAAGTCAAGGAATAAGCGAACTATGCAGTTGTCTGATTTCATAAAAATAAAATAAAAAATGTTCTGATTGATTTTATATAAGAAATAGGAAGGACTCTGCTGGGGTCGCTCCTGTTAGGGACCCTGGGGCCCCAACGGCCTGGGCATTAAATACTTTGCCTTTTATGGTAAGTCCGCCCCTGCTCTTTATTTTTCGAATTTAAATTTATCTCCACATTATTCTCGTAATACTATACCTTTCTTAACTTACCGTTAGTTCTTTATTCTCTTAATGATAAAAGTTTTCGTACGGCTCTATTAGTGTCGTAAATTAAGTGAACTGTTCCTTTAAGACGCTCTCTTGTTTTTCCTAAACCCGGAAGTGCGCCGTCTGGTTGCCTTTTCTAGCATCACAGCGCAGCACCGTGGTTTTAATAAAGCCCTTTTGATGTTTATAAGGGTATAAAACCGTGAAAATGTCCGCTGGGGTCCAGCTGGAGAACGCTAACCCGGTGATCTTCCAGCGGTCCGGGGAGAGGCTGCCTACGGCGAGCGAAGAGGATGGAGACGTTCACGACCCCATCGACGACCGCGAGATATTCGATATCCTTCTCCATCACATTTCTACACTTTTGGACATACTTTTAACCCATTTAAATAACTTCAAATTGATATTCTTGTTTTCCATTGAAGCGTTGATAGAAAATGTAAAAAAAAAAAGAATCAAAACTTTAGATTGTTTAAATGGATGGGAACAGCTGCTCTGTTTCCGTGATGCGTGACATCAGCTGCCTACTTGATTAATGTTATTACTGAGATGTTTTGTTTGATGATCTTTAACTTGTGATCACATCTGATCCGATCCATTAATGACCCGGAACATCCGCTGTCTCTGGAGGAGCTGAACGTGGTGGAGCAGGTTCGGGTTCAGGTCGGTTTCTGGAAAGTTTGATCCACAAACTTTAGTCAATTAACGGCATGTGGTATAACAGAGCGACTAGGAGTGCTGAATAAGTGTCTATTTGGAGGAAAATTAGAGCTATGGTTTCTAATTGTTATGTTCTCTATCTAAAAATCTGAAAAGTGCGGCGTGCATTTGTCTTCAGTCCATTTTACTCTGAGAGGCCAGAGTAAAACCAAAGCAAAGGAGTAACTTTGATAAAAGTTGGTGAGAAGATTCAGATGGTGGCTGATGGACCTATAGTTACAGCCGATTCAGATGCTGAAATCGATATATGATGCATCCCTAGAAATACAATTTCAGTTCCATCCAGAAAAAATATACAAATGCTGCATTTTAAATATAACATGGCATATTTTTTCTTGTAAACTTTCTGGTAAACGTGGAGATATATTTTAATGCATGTTGCATATCCCAGTGGATCTGTTTCACCTTTAAATCTGATCTGCAGCTCTCCCTACTTCTCTCTGTGCTCTGTTTAAAAAGATTTATAAACTCTTTACTAATATAATGATGCTAGAAACTAAATTTCAAGATCTGTAGAAGCTCTGCAGTCTGATTCTTTCTACACAATAAAAACAGATTTTAACCTGTAATTGGGAGTTATGGTCCTCTGAGAAGCCCAGATTTTTTTAACTTGTAAAGAAGAACAAACTTTGTGTTCTCAAGCTTCTTGCATTATAATACTAAGTTGTATAAATGTACAATCTGTTGCCTCTTTTAGCGTAAAATGCTCTGTATGTCTAACGAACAGATTTTTCCGTGGCACGATCTCTAATTTTTTTAACCAACCCGTCTCCTAACTTTTCTTTAAACACCGAAGTAGCTGCTGGTTAATATTCACTGAGTGCTGCTGTGTGTCTTTCTTTCAGTCATGTAGCTACTTTGTACGCAGTGAAATGCGGTCTCAAAGCGACATCTGATGATGTAACACCCAGAGGCGGGACACAGGAGCAACGGTAGAGAGGGAAAATAAACACTGACTCAAAACGCTCTGAACACAGATAACTGCACCCAACTCTGTTTCCTTTGGCTAAATGAAATGAGCGGAAAGGGGGGAAAAAAGCAGAGATTATTAGTGGGGACGTGTCCACACCAGTCCTTCAGAAAGTTAAGCCTGTGAACCAGAGCAACAAGCTGCCTTCAGACGTCAAAGAATTATTTAAAATACATTTATATTTAGGTATTTCTGAAAGTTATTTTTACCGAAAGTGTCTGTAGGACAACCACGTTAGTTCAAACTGGCCAATGGTCAGAGCTGTTTGTTTTTTCTACCCAATAAAACACATCATCACTGCTGCATTGGTGTTTAGTGGCTGCAGGTGGATCAGAGAAACGTCTCACTGGGTCAGGTTGATGATGTGCAAGTTGAGAGGAGGTATGAACATCGCCTCTCAACCAGAGCATGTGAGCAGAACGTGGAGCGAGCGGAACAGATATGGTGGAGCGTGGAGCTGTTTTCAATTCAAAGGCCAGAGCGAGGATTTCGCTTTGCTCTGATGTGCTCACAACCTCAATTAAAAATGTTGGATTATACAATCACAGATTAGAGGACGGCGGTCCGAATCCGGACCCACCCGCTGGCTAATCCGGACCCAACCTGATTTAAAACATTTATAAATTACCCCATGTTGTCTGAAGGCAGTGTCTAACTTTACTTGCAACTCTTCTCCTGTTTGTACGGTAAAGCCCTCCGGCACCAGGCTGCATGTGATGCCAATCAGCCAATGAGCTGCTGTCAGTCTGGGTTGCTGCTGCTGCTACTTTTACACACAGCAGCCAAACCTGTAGCAAGCCGGGCAATGGGTAACGATGATGACAAAACCTGAAAGAAATTGTAGACTGATGGAAGAAGCACGGTGAACTTGTGACAGAAAAGTGAAATGGTGCTCAAAGATGACCCTGAACATTTAGAGTATGTTTGGCTCAACCTGCTGCTGTGAAGCATGATTCCCTCCCATTAATATAATCAAAAATGAATATCAATCCAGGCTCAAAATGAGCTCCTTGATATGTGCTTTAGAATGACTTTGTCTCCATTCAAACCCAGGTTTAAAGCCTTGCAGGGCAGCATAAAGCCCACTGCTCTCATTAAGACAGAAAAACGAAACAAACGGTCACTTCAGGTGTTTTAAAAAAAAATAAGAAAAAAGAATCAGGAAATTGTCTATAAACCAAACTGAACGATTTTTGCTCTCTGCTTCAAAAAACAATTGGACAAATGTTCTTTTTTTTTTAAATACTTTTCATTTAAAAATTCAATGTATAACATGGATGCATAAAAACCTAATTTTATTTCAGTGTTAAATTCAGTTTAAATTACAGATTATAATTAAAAATGTCTCCTGACCTTTACTGGTTGATGATTTTCTTTATTCAGACCCGGCTGATTTTTAATTGCTGACCCCTGGTCTAGAATATTAAAAAAGAAAATCTTGACCAACTGAGCAGATATTTGAGTTTAATGAAGCTACATTCTCACTTAAAACATCCAACATCCCTCTGTTTCCCATGATTCACTGTGAGTCAAAGTGGATTAGTTAAGCCCAGACAGCTATAGTGAAAGTTTATTATGTTACACTTTAGATTACGCAGAATAAACCTTTGCTAAAACAAAGCTTTGTTAAACTCCAATATCTCCTTGATTTGTTTGTTTTAAATGATTTTAAAAAAGGAAAGAAAAGAACTCCATCATTTCCTGAGACCAACTAACCTTTTGTCCTAAAATGTGCCTCAGCGTCACGATAGAGATATTAAACTGTGCTAACTAAGGCTGAAACAAGTAATTGGATTATGTTGGTGAAGGTTCACAGAAATTTTTTTGGTTCAAAATGACCTTTTAGTCTGTTCCAATTTGCATGTTTTCAAAACAAAAACAACGCTTTATTGGGTTGCTGTATAAAACATCGAGCTCAATGCTATTTCTGACATTCTGAATTGAAAAAGCTTCCTGGATGGGAAGCGAAACGTCTTCAAACTTGGAAACAAAGTCCGATGGATGGTTTTTATTTCTCTTTTTGAGGGGAATTAATTGGATTAATTGTGATTAATCGGTTATTGAAATAAACATCAATTATTTTAGTAATCGATTTATCCTTAACTGGAGCAACCCACCTTGAGCTGCAATTTTACCAACATTTTAAAAGAAAACAGAAAAAATAAACATTTTTTGTTTTAAAATAAAAAAAAAAAACTTTTTCAACAGTCTACATGCTCTATTCAGAACTCCTCAAGTGGAACAGGTTTAGTTTCACCTATTTAAATTTTTAAAACGTCTTCTTTAAGGAATCTTTGGTTATCCAATTCTTAATCAATCAGAAAAAATAATGGACAGATTCATGGATTTGAAAAATAATCGTTAGTTTCAGCCCAGCGGTGACCAAGCGCACTGCGCTGCGACTCGGGTTGTAGTTACATCGATGCAAGCTGACCTCTGGTGTGTTCCTCTTCAGGTCAATGATCCAGAGAGCACGGTGAGCGTGGAGTTCACTCCCACCATACCGCACTGCAGCATGGCCACCCTCATTGGCCTGTCAATCAAAGTCAAGCTCCTGCGCTCCTTGCCTGACAGGTTCAAAGTTAGTTTGCTTTTCTGCCTTTAGATATTTATATATATATATATTTAATACTATGAATTATTGTTTAAAAGATTGCAGTATGTTTAATTCTGACTTTTGACTCTGCTACCAATCAGATCGACGTTCACATCACTCCTGGAACTCACGCCTCAGAGGAAGCAGGTAGGAACACACTGAGCTCTGGAATTAAAGGAGGATATCTAACTAGAATATTAAAGAGGTCAACTTCAGTGATGGTAGAGGAGGCCTTTGTTCACTCTGTTGTTCTATACTGACACCTGCTGGATCTTGAACACCTTTGCATCAGACTCACGTATTCACCTAGCATCTTGATTCATATGTCGCAGCTAATATACGCAACAGCTGAAATAAGACATAAGAATCATTTCCTTTCACATTGAGTTCCGTCCCAGTGTTCACGGGGATGGACGTCTGTGTCTTCAGCAGGCGTAGAGCTAACAGAACTGGCAGTGTTGCGAGGCAAGGGCTCAAACATGTACGGCTGGAAGCCTTCTACACCAAACCAAGCTTCTGCCGCCCTGGCGTCCTCTAACACAACATCTTCATCCCCGCTTTCCTCCTCTAAATAAAAAATATATGACGGAGGAGACTCATCCACGACCTCCGACACTAAACTCTCCTCCTCTTGCATGTTTCCTCTGTCCATAGCATGGACAGAGGAAACATGACAGTGTTGTTGCTAAGACACCAATTTAGTGCTACTTGGTCCCAATGGAATTTCCCATTGGGAACCTGGGAGCATTAAGTTGCTAACTGGTTAGCAGGATGCTTCCGACAAACTGGCCACAATCAAACTTGTTTCCAACCCTTCCGCTCCAACAATCCCGCCCTCTTGATAATCGCCCAATCACATTCACTTTATTCAGTCATGTAAAGTCTTGCAACACTCGGGAGAATTCGGAAATGCAACGGATGGAACAGCAGTTTTCCCTATGAATTAAAGTTAACCTGGTTGGGAGCAGGTTGTCCTCAATGACCTCAGTGCCCTCTGTCTCTCCTCCTATGAGGTCCATTGGAGTCATTAGTTGTTAAAAACACAATTAGAGGATCCAATCTAAAATCTAAAGATTGAATGCACTGAGGATTAAACATAGAGAGGGTTCTCAGACGTGGTATAGATGTCCTTTCATAATCAGGTTTCTATGAGCTCCATTGACATTGAGTTGGAAAACTGCACTGTTTTGTGACTTGACCTGGATTTTTATACCGACTCAAGACTTGAATTTAACTTGAACTGGTTTACTTAAAAAGACACAATGTTTTAACCAAAATCTCAAATTTTTAAACATTTTTTATAAAAAAAAAATGTGCACCATTATTTCCTTATACTCATCCCATAGTAATATATGCAGACTGAGCAGATCAAATTTGACTTGACCTCTGGTGACCAAGAGGTTATATGGAAGTCTATATGTGAAAATATTGAATGTAAAAAAAAACTTCTTAACTTTGCAGTTCTTAAAAGTAAAACTTGGTTTGAAGAATCCAGAAATGTAAAATTTCCATTCTCTGCTTTTTTCTGCAGTGAACAAACAGCTGGGGGACAAAGAGCGCGTGGCGGCAGCTTTGGAGAACTCGTCTTTGTTGGAGGTGGTCAACCAATGCCTGTCCAGCAGAACCATCTAATCACTCAGTTATCTAGCTTTAGAAACCAGGACCGCTTGATATTTTCTTTCTTTCTCCATGACATCATCCCCGACCTGGAGCTGCTGCTGGTACTCAAATCCAAATAAATTAGAAAAGCAGAAATAGAAACCTGTCATTAAAGCAGCAAAAGCTTCTTTTTAAATAGTGTTGATGTACAGCTGTTGTTACCTGTGTATAATACGCATAATTTCTGTTTTTAATTAAATAAATCATTGAGAAAAACTGTTTCTATTAGTTTTTCATTAAAGAAAAAAAAGGAGTTGAAAGCCCTCATTGGCCATATTATTGGGGGTCACATGCTGCCATTTAGACAAATCACCACTTTGACATTTACCGCCTAATGTCTAAGTGGTAATATTAATATTTTTTCATCATCAGCGTTTCATTTTTCTCTGTCGGAGTAGATGCAGTTTAGCCCGCGGGGTCGGTGAGCACCATTAGAGTCTTAAAGCTGAAGTCTGTAAGTTTTTAAAAATCATATTGGCTAAAACTGTCCCTATGCCCAGACAGCAGTACATGTGATATGTAACCTGTGAAAAAAAACTGCTTCAATTGGTCCCGCCTACTGCCTGTATTGCAATCTGGAAAGAATATTTTGGGACGAGACAAAACAACCAATCACAGCCAGAGGAGCGTCTGATGGAGTGTCAATCACAGCTCACACACGCTGTGAGAGGGGTGGAGCTTGGAGGTGGGGCATGAGTGAAGCAGAGAGGGTGGGGGAGTGGCGTGAAACCTGTTTTTCTTAAAATTTTCAGTCGAAGTCTGCTCTCTTCTCAATGTTACAGACTGCAGCTTTAATGCTCTGCACTATAGAGATTTAACACGGAGTTTGATTCTATCGCTTTAAACCGATTTTCTAGGTGGGTAAAATTACAAGCTTTATAGAACAAGGAAGAAAATTGAAAAACATGTCAGTGCAGCAAATAATCCAACAGAGCGGAATAGTGTGAACTATTATGGCTTATATATGAAATGAAAGTTTAAATATCCTTCCATTAAAGACAGAAAAATATCAGCTGCCAGTAAAATAAATTGAAATCATCAAACATAATGAATAAAAATTATAAAAAATGGAGATCATGATATTGATTTAGAATATAATTATACATAAATACATATTCAAATATTAATATGACCAGCAAACAAGCCTAAATGAGAAACTGAACTATGATGGAATCACTGAAATCAGCTGTTTTCTGTAATGTTCAGGAAATGTTCAAACTTCTGCACCTGTTGACAGGTATGTTGGTTCAATGTTCATGACGAAGTTTCTTCAATTTAAATTTTTTTCTAAATTGTCATTTATTAATTTATTTATTGTTTCAATTTTGTGTTATTTAAATTACTAGTGTGCATTTATCATGTTTGTAATGTGAGGGTATGTAAACTTTCAAGCACAACTCTACTATATGCAAACCTGATGATCAGATCAATCTGCAATGGAACGCACACAATGTTTGTTCTTAGCTGGTTTTCTCTTTACGGCGAGTGTTGTTCTTAGTGATGGACATGGATAAACGCAGTCTGCAATGTGTCTGTTGCGCTGTTAAAGTATTACGTGAACTCTTTACGATGTGTAATAGAATAGAATAGAAAATCCCTTTATTGTCCCACAATGGGGAAATTCTTGTATTTACAGCAGCAAAGCAATTATAGGTGAAATGGTCACACTAATATGGATCTTAGGAAAAATATAAAAGAATAACATAGTAGTGAAGGGTTAAAAGAAAAACAAAAAAATACTGTACTGTAAAGTGCTTTTTAACAATAGAAAAACTGCATCTGGAGAATAAATAACCAATATACATCTATGGACAGTTTTAGAGCAGAGGATATTTGAAAATAGCAGCAACATCAGAGATGCACAAAATGACTGCAGTATGTTATTGAACTGACTAAAATAGAAACTGTGAAAAATCAGCATGAATGTAACAACTTATAGAGTCTAACGGCTGCTGGGAGGAAGGATATGTGATAACGCTCCCTGGTGCATTTAGGGTGTATCAGTTTTGGATGCAGCACAACAGTATTACAAAAACTTTTTTTTGTAAATCTACAGTCTTTTTCCTATTAATATTATGAAACAACCATTGTCTCCACCCTCTAAATGTTGAACTTGTCAATGTTTTTCTCAGATTCTGGCCTCAGACTGCCGTAAAGTTGCAGTCCAGGTTAGTTGACTCATTCAAAGATGGATCTGACCCTTTTGAAGCAACATAATCATGCTGTTTTTAAAGAAGTTTGGTTTGAATCAAGTGATGAATATCAACCTGAAATACCATTTACCACATCCCAAACATAAAAAAAAATTTGGGTTAAAAGTTATGCAATGAATCAGTGCAAACTTGTTTGTTTTTAAACACAGAAATCACAGCATATCAGGAGATTTTGACATCTTCAGCATAATCCAATCAAACAACTTTAAAAGTAAGAAAAACGAAAAATCCCTTTCTTCTATACTCCAATGCTCCAATGTGATTGGCTGATTGTCGATTGTCAAATTAGCGCTACAGAGAGTGGCTATGACAAAGTCTCATAAACATGTAATGTTTCCATTTGTCCACCAGGTGGTGCCATAAACACGAATATTCAGTCTACAAGATTAGAGCGTGGTCATGCCAAACCACATGTCCACTACTCATTTTTCATATCTCTGTTATTAATCACTGAAACCTTATATTGGAAGATAGGATTTGCTGCTTGAAAATCAAATTTGTTAAAAGTTTTGATCCAACTATTTTACCTGTGAAGTATTTGAGGATTAAAAAGCCTTAGATTGTTATTTTTAAGTATAGTTTTATGTTGCTACATTAAGGCGAACTCATTGTATTGTAACATAACAAAGTGTTTCTAAAAGTAGGCTATCACAGCTGCTCCCCCACCCCTCCCTCTCTGGTTCCACATCTGGAAACATTGCATCACTGCTCCAGACCGGATAGGAGACCCAGTCTGCACAGCTGCATGGGCTAAAACCAGAGCCATGAATACAGAGAGTTCAGGCAACACACATGATCACAAGGGTGGCAGTCATGCTGTTTTTGTCTCAGACGTCGGAAATGGGATCTTGAAACGCCTCAGATTCTAGCTGAACGTGTTTATTTAAGAAGTTAATAAGTAAGTTTAGGAAGTAAGTGGGATCTTCTAATTATACTCTGAGCGTAGCTGTTTTTTTGTTTTTCCCCAGGCTCTTAAAGGGCATGACCATCTTGACCAATAATAGAAAAAAGAGTTATCCTGGTTAAAGAAGATTACATTTTGCAGCATAAAGTATATAAATTATAAACAGACAACATTAGACCAAGGATGAACATAGCTTGATTTAAGGAAAAGGATTCATAAGCTAACAGATCAGAAATGTGCAAACTTTATAGAGGGATTCAGTAAATATGTAATGATGTATTACCATGTACAAAAACAGCTATTTATATTGATCTAAAACTGATATAATGAGGGATACACTAAAATGATTAGACGTTTTTTCTATATCAAAAGGTTGGCTGTTTTTGTGGTTCTGGATGGGGGCCAACAGGGGTTAGGGCCCCATGTAGAGCTTGTCTTGGCCCCCGTTGGTAGTCTGGCACATAACTGAAACGATTTCAAAGGCAGGACCAACAGAGTCGCTGGAAATTGCTTAGAACCAAACAGGTAACTATGGATGTGATGAAAAAAACATGCTTTTGAAAAAGAAATGAAAATTTCTAGTAATTTCTGGTAAATTTACTGACCTGCTGCCACTAGCTGGCTTGACGTTGCCATGACAACGTAACTTCCATGAACTTGTGTTGATTAGGCCTCCAAATAATTGGTAATAGTAAATAAAAAAAAGTCTAAATCATTTCCCAAAACATTCATAAGAACTTTATAAATTGTGCAAAGTATTTTTAACTGATTTTTAAAATTTATTTATCTCCCTCTCGCCAATAGGGGGTGCTGCAGCAGCTCCACTTCCTGCAGCCTAGCTCAGTAAATGAATTTAATAGCAGAGGTGTGTGTCAGGGTCACCATGTATCCAAACAGGGCCAGCCCAAATCGGAAGCAAACTAAGCGGCTGTGAAGGGCCCTTGAGCAACTAGCGGGCGGCAAGAACATTTTCTTTTTTGTTTTGTTAAATATTGTAGGGTTAGGCAATATGGACTTCAAATGTTTTTATGATATTTTGTGGAAGTGATGATAAATGCAAAGATAAAAACTTATTTGCAGTCTTTCTTTGGTAACTGTATGGATGTGACTGCATGCCACAGCAATCACAATTATTCCTCTTTAAACACATAAAAGTTAGATTAGGTTCCTTTAGGAAACCAGTTGCATAATGAAGTGTGATTTATATTACTAAACATCCATAGTTACCCTTTGTTTAATCATTATTAAAATTTGTCAATATACCCCAATGGAAAATAAAGGAAAACTAAAAAGTCTGACAATTAACCAATTTTTTGAGGGGATTTTAAATATAATTAATTCCAATTTAAATCATAATTCCCGTCGTAAAATTAAAAATATGATAAATGCCCTCCCCTACCATTTAGAAATAATCACCTATAGATGAAATAAAGGTATTGTATGGAGGACCAACTCTGCCATATTTAAGAATAATTACATAAATAAATAAATGCTCAATAAATAAATAAGCATACAATTAATTTCCCGAAAAAATACAATAAACAAATAAATGTAGGTAGAAATTAAATTATAAAGTGAGACATAAATGTATATATCTCTTTTAATTAGCTTCTCTATTTGTAATAATTACCTTATTTATTTGTTGTCTGTTATAATCTTCAACTTTATTTATTTATTACTTACTTTTTTAAGTATTTATTTATGTGCATTATATAATATTTTGTCTGCTTTATTCTTCCTTTCTATTTTTTTACCCTCTTTATTTCCTCAACATTATTTATTTCTAGATGCATTTCTGCCTCATTATGTAAATGAGGAAGGGTGCGTCCTAGAGAGGCAAATATTATCACATGCACATAAATAAATACTTAAAAAATAATTAATTAATAAATAAAGTTGAAGATTATAACAGACAATAAATGATAAGGTAATTTTACAAATAGAGAAGCTAATTAAAAGA